GATGATTTGATAGTTATTTCGGAAGACGTAACTGAAGGTTTGCTAAGGTTGAGAAAGGTATTTCACATAGCATCTAATGCGGGCTTAATCATCAATTTTAAGAAGTGTAATTTTTTTACGAGTCGCGTTGAGTTTTTGGGTCATATTATCGAAGACGGTATGGTAAGGCCCTCAGAAACAAAAATTTAAGCTGTAAAATGTTTTCAAGAGCCAACGAACGTAAGACAAGTTCAGGCTTTTCTTGGATTAAATGGATACTTCAGGAAATTTATCCCAGATTACTCGAGAATCGCTCGACCTGTATCAAATCTTTTGAGAGCCAATGTTAAATTTCAATTTGATTTTGGAGAAAGACAAGCTGTGGAATCATTGAAAAACTATCTCACTAGTCAACCTGTGCTTAGCATTTATAGAGTTGGTCAGTGTTGCCATTTTAGCCGTTTTCCGGCTAGATTTAGCCGGTTGCGACAGCAAACAGCCGGAAAAAATTCGATTCAGCCGGCAGCCGATTTGTTAGCCGTTTTGCAAAAAAATTAGCCGTTTTTAGCCGATTTTGCTCTTCGCCTTATTTTATTAAAATTCAAATATACAAGTTTTTATTTTTACAAATTTATTGCTCCAAAATCTATTAGAAATGGCTAGCCTTATCTCTGAGAAAACTTTCATGTCGGACTGTGTTATATAAAATTGTAAAACAATCAGATAGTGAGCCGATTTCAATGTTTTTTTTATAAGCGAGTGACCCAAATACACATAAACTGGGACGCGTAATTTTAGCAGATTAAACAGTTACAAGTTTTGCTGAAATTTTTCAGAATTTTCATAATTTTTACACCAAGTGTGAAATTTGTTTGTAGTATATGTTGTTTGTTAAGTAATGAGCTACATATTCATAAAAAATAATAAATATTTAATAGAATAAAGAAAAACAGGCAAACCTTGCTTCAATTTCGCGTCCCAGTTTCATAAAATTTTTGCTATGAATGTCTTAAATTTAAGTTTTATTCGCTACACTTAGAAAATAAAAGAGCACGAGTTTCAATGTGGAGCAAAACTCTCTGGGAAGACAATACATGGTGCAAACATACTTTTTAAATTTTATAAAATGAAACTGCAGTAGTTTTCATCTTATGTGAATAATTCTTGTGACAAATACATAGTTTCGTGCTTATATTTTTGTATATATATTTTAAGCAGCACCACATCTTTATCAGAAAATTCCGAGATTCCAAAAATTGGTAACGTTACAAGTTGCAGGGCATCATTTTAACTCGACATCTTTCCTGTTCCACGGATAATGGTACATGTTTCAGAGGTTTAAAGATATTTTGCGTCAGCAATTTGTCATCAAACTACGTACCCTATCTTGGAAAAGCAAAAAACTATATTCGAACGTTTGCTCAGGTGTACCGAATTCTGGCAGTTTGGAAACTTGCAACGCTTTTAATATTTTCATCCAACTTCACTAACTTCAAATTTTTTTTACTTTTTCAAGAAACAAATTTTTCTGCTAGTGAATCTGGTGGCATGATTTTAGTTAAATGTCATAAACTTGTTAAAAGTGAAGTAGTCGGCAACAACAACGAATGCCAATAAATTAAACTACTTTCTGCTTTCACAGCTTTACGTGTTCATTTCTCAAAAAAAAATCCCCTCCCACTAAGCAAAAGTGCCATACTTTCAGCTAATATAGCCATTTTGCGGGACAAAAAGCAACATACTGAAAATGATCCAATATTTATAAGAAGGCAAAATTGTTTAATAGAAACGAAAATGCCATACGTTTGTAATTTATCTCTGTTTTTATATTTAAGTAAAACAAACATGACTTCTGATGTAAAGCTTAGCTACGTATAACGACAGTTTCCTTTGTTAAACAAAAATAAAGTGGTGTTCAGCTTAGCTACGTATAATCTTTATTAACCAAAAAAAATTCAATGGATTTACTAGTCTTTCTAATCGTAATTTGAGTATTTAAAAAAAATTTATTCTAGTTGAAACATTTTAGCCGTTTTTAGTCGTTTTTAACCGACTTCCAAAAAAGGAGGAGGTTCGTCGGAATATTTTTTTTTTTTTTTTTTTTTTATGTATGTTACCGCATAACTTTGGACCATGTCAACCGATTTCGATAATTTTTGCATCGGAAAGGTAGTGTCTCAGAGGTGGTCCCATACTAATCTGGTTCAGATCCGATCAGCGGATTATGAGATATATATATATATATATTTTTTTTTATATGAGAGTTGAAGTCGGTTTTTTTTTTGCTAAAAATTACTTGTTTTAGTCCAATCTAGCCGGTCGCCCTGAAAAGTTCTGGCAACACTGGAGTTGGTGCTGAAACTGAGCTTCACACAGATGCATCTAAGGACGGATATGGGGCAATTTTACTGCAACAAGATGCTGAGGATGGATTGATGCACCCTATATATTTTGCAAGTGGAAAGACAACTGAAGCTGAAGAGAAGTATCCTAGCTATGAATTAGAAGTTTTAGCGATCATTAGAGCCTTACGTAGATTCCGTGTATACCTATTAGGCATCAAATTTAAGATTGTGATGGATTGCAAAGCGTTTACAATGACCATGCAGAAGAAGGACCTCTGTGTGAGGGTATCACGCTGGGTATTGCTTTTAGAAGAATTTCAGTATACAATCGAACACAGGCCAGGCCGAAGTCTTAAACATGTTGATGCGTTAAGTAGAAATCCGCTTTCGTCATGCTTGATAGTCACGGAGAGTGATGACAGTCTCGTAGCATGGTTAAAGAAACTTCAGCGAGAAGATGTAGATTTAAAACAGAAAATAAAACAAACTGAAGAAGGGGTATGTAGTGGTTACAGTATTTGGAGAGGACTGCTATGCAAAGACGTTGGAGACGAATCACGCGTAGTAGTTTCAAAAGTGATGCAGACGCAGATTATTCGAAATGCACATGAACGAGGACATTTTTCTGTTGGCAAAACTTTGTCATTGATTGAAAATTTTTATTGGATCCCTTGTTTTCGACAAAAAATAGAGAAGGTAATTGAGAGTTGTGTTTCGTGTATTTTAGCTGAGAGAAAGATGGGAAAGCCGGAAATATTTTTGCATCCAATTGATAAAGGAAGTTGTCCTTTCTATACCTTTCACGTTGACCACTTAGGTCCGCTAACTTCAACGAAAAAATCCTATGGCCATGTTTTCGCAGTAATTGAGGCATTTACTAAATTTGTATGGTTGTATGCCACGAAATCAACAGCCACCGCAGAGGTTATTGAAAAGCTTCAGCGGCAGTCAATTAATTTCGCCAACCCAAGACGCACTGTAAGTGACAGGGGGCCAGCTTTAACATCAAAGGAGTTCGCGGCGTATTGTAGTGAAGAAAAGATTCAGCACGTCTTAACAACAACTGGTATTCCCAGGGCAAATGGTCAAATTGAAAGAGTGAACCGAATATTGATTCCTCTGCTGACGAAACTTTCTGCTCCAAAGCCAGGTGAATGGTATCGACATCTAAATACTGTTCAAAAGATCCATTTAGATTGATGTTTGGAGTTGAAGCGAATACTAAGGATGAGCCGCGGTTGTTGGAAATGCTAGAGCAGGAGTGCATTAGTGCTTTTGATGAGGAAAGAAGTGATCTACGACGTCAGGCGCATGAAAGCATTCAGCATCTTCAGGCTGAGAATAGGCGAAATTTTAATAAAGGTAGAAAGAAAGCATCCCGTTATCGTGATTTGGTCGCTATTCGAAGAACGCAGCAGGCACCAGGATCTAAGTTAGCGCACAAGTTTCTTGGCCCTTATCAAATTGTGAAGTGTTTACGAAATGACCGATATGTTGTACGTCGAATTGGTGAGACTGATGGCCCCAAGCAAACATCTACAGCTGCCGATTCTATGAAGGGATGGACATTTGATGACGACGAAGACCTATTTCGAAGTGATGATGAAGAATTCGTAGAAGAGCGAAACCCGCCTAACTAATGAGGTGACATGCACTCGGGTCGAGTACTTGTTCAGGATGGCCGAATGTGGGTTTATGCAAATATCCCTACTTACATATATACTTTAATATTAAATACTTTAATTGACGATAATTGAGTTAGCATATGAAATACAAAGAATCATATGTCAAGATTTCTTTTTCGGAAGACAGACGATTTTCAATAGACGAAGTGCACCCTTTTAAATAAAATATTATCTCACATTACTAAAAAATTTCTTATTATAGCTTAAAATTATTGTAACCAATAGAGGCAAACCCACTGGGAAAATAGGTAAGCACCGTACGAGGTAAGCCATGTTTTCTTTCAGTTTTTAGTACCAAAATTGTCATCATGGCCAATGTCATCTACTAGTAAAGCGCAAAATGAACACCTCCGACGACACATTACGTCAGTTGCAAAATAACGTACAGCCGAAGTTATTTCCAAGCGCCGAACTACTCCGAGCGACAGCTCTGCATTACGCGTAACTTACTTTGTAAAGCGGCTCAGAGGTATGTCTGATACCAAATGTACATTCTTAATTCCTACTTACATAAGGCGGCCACGTCTTAGTTAAAGTAATGGAGATTCGGCAAGGAAGTGGTAAAGACCGCCAGGTGAAGGGCAATACCTTGCCAGCAACTTACACTTCACCCGGCTGTCCTTACCACTTCACTGCCGAATCTCCCTTACTTTAATAAAGACGTGGCCGCCTTATGTAAGTAGGAATTTAAAATGTACATTTGGTATCAGACATACTTCTGAGCCGCTTTAAAAGGAAATTACGTGTAATGCAGAGCAGTCGCTCGGAGTAGTTCGGTGCTTGGAAATAACTTCGGCTGTTCGTTATTTTGCAACTGACAACGTAATGTTTCGCCGGAGGTGTTCATTTTGCGCTTTATTAGTAGATGACATTGGCAATGATGACAAATTTGATACTAAAAACTGAAAGAAAACATGGCTTACCTCGTAAGGTGGTTACCTATTTTCCCAGTGGGAATATGTTGTACAAAAACACATAAACAGAAGTTCACAAAAGTTGATGCAAAACTATTCGTCGATTTAAATAGTTAACTTTTTACTGCGCATGTTTATTTTACGAGGAGGAAGCATCGAAAGCCTAACCCCGGCAGTGTGACACTTTAACCCAAACTAAACTTCCTGTACCGTTTCCCTCCCGGTACCACCGTAAAGGATTTCTTCGTGATTAAAACACTGTGTGACTGATAAGGTTACAGATCTATTCTCTTCTTCTTCTTCTTGTTTGGCGCTGTAACCGCCAAAGCGATTTTGGCCGAGTTCAATAAAGCACGTCAATCGTTTCTCTTCTGTGCCAACTGACGCCAATTGGAAATGCCAAGTGAANGCTTCTGCCATTCAAAAGGGTCGAAAAGTGTTCCCTCCATAATTTGAGAACGATCTGGACATCGGTTACTAGGTCGTCATGGTTGTTCCTACAGGAGTCTTGAAACCCTCCGTAATTCGCTCAACTCCCTGCTAAAAATTTCGGGTGTTTTTTCTGTCGGCCAGAATTTCAAACAATTTTCTCTGCGGCTTCTTGACACTCCTCATCGTACCAGTAATGAGCGGGAAATGTGGTTCCACTGCTCGCGTATGTCGGTTTGTTGAAGAGTGCTCTCTCACAGTAGGTGTGAGAGTCGAGCGACGAATCCAGCGCCCGTCTGTTTTTCGACGTTGAACTTTCCTTGCATTATTGGGGCCATGTTTTTGCCTGCATCGAGGTCATCAATACACTGGAAGTATGCCTTAAGTCTATCACAACTTGCTCGATTTGGTCGATTAACTTCATATTCAAAAACTCTAGTACTAACACTAGGAGCAAAATACACAGAACACACAACAAAATTATCCTTCAAATTAATAGTTTTAGCAATGACAATGTCATGTATTGAATTATACCTCACTCTCTCAAATCTTATATTTTTCCTGAAACCTACCGCAACACCAAATTTATCAATTTATGCTCAGACTTTTGCTCATCATGAGAACAAATTTCATCAAGAGCAACAATATCAACATTATTTTGTTCAATAAAGAAATCTAAAACATCCTTATTAGCCTTTAAACTTTGACAATTAAGCTGCAGAATTCGAATCTTGTCCATCATTATTAATAAAAGAAGCCACAAGCCTATCACTAACACTAGTCTTACATAAATTGCTCATCAACTTCACCAAAGGTTCCTCAGAGTTAATATCAAAATTTTCAACCAAAAGCGCCAAAAGCCTTTCAAATTCAGAAACCTTACTCCATCTTTCACTATTAAAACAAGGATTTATTGTCCCTTTACTTCTACGAATTTGCTTCTGCTGATCAACAATGGGCTGAAAACTCTGATCCTTAACAACTACATTATACCTCCTCCTAGTCAACCTTCAACAATATCATTATTATCCTGCACCTTATCCAAACTACTACCAAGCACCGGAAAAGAACTTTCATAACGGTACAACAGCCTTAAAATTCTCAAAAATCTCCTTATCCGAAAAATCAACTGGAACCTGTCTCAAAACACTATAAGTTTCAACAAAACTTCGTGGTATAAATACTCGTATACCTTTTTCCTTCAAAACCTCATTAACAACACAATCATTAGCAGTACTACCACTTTCAAAAAAAATCGTATACAAAGACTTGCCAATCGCCTTTATATTCTTCATGCCTTTAAAATTATATTTGCGTATTTTTGCAAACAAAAACAAACCATTTTTCATGAATTTATTATCAAAGAAAGGACTCTTCGAAGTATCAGCAAGAACACAAAATTCACCCCTATAAAACTCAGAATATACAGCACTCTTATACACACCCTCATCACTAAAGCCATTCTTACTAATATTACTACCACTGTTAGTATTCTGAGCACAAACATTTTCTTCACAAGACTCCCCATTTATCTGACCACCACTGTTAAAATTCAAGGACACAATATTCTTCCCACTTCCATTAAGCACAACACCATTTTGAAAATTATGTACATCATTCAACATAACCCCAATATCACCAGAAACACTTTCAACACAATCATTTCCAACCTGAGTAGACATTTGACCCCCATTTTGAATCAAACCCTCATCACATGAAACACAAGGCACAAACATATCACCATCTCTTTCATTGAACACAACATTACGCTCTCCAACAACACCATGTACAACATCGCCATTTTGAGCATTATATACACCACTGAACATAACCTCTTTATCACAAGTAATCCCTGCAACTCCACTTTTTCCAACTTGAACGTTCCCAAAACCACCATTTTGAAACAACAACGTCTTATTAAAAGTACCCCTGGGTACAAGCATACCCTGCAAAGCAATCTTTGGTATATCCCTAACCTCACTTAAATCCTCCTCAGAAAAACTATCCCCATTACTAACATCCGCCTTTGCATCCTTTTTTTTCCTAGCTCTCATACACTTCCTTGCTGAAGACCTATGCGCAGAAACCTGCATCATATCCTCCAGCAACCCCTCCTCTATAGACGCCGCAGCGTCCATTTAAATAAAAAACCCAAAAATCACACACTGCCAGGACTCACCTGCAAACAGCAAACAGCTCCTTCCAACTTCTGACTTGCCCTCCTTTTTACAGCTCCAAAATACAAAAAAAAACTAATTAAAATATTAAAATTATAAATTAAATGACTTAAAACAAAAAACTAAAGGCACTGGCCCAATGCAGGCTTGCTTTGCTCGCTTTGCTGACTTTAATTTGCTTTGATTTACTTTAAAAACTTGTTTAGCCGAATGGCGGCTTGGAACGCTGTTAAAGTAACCAGCTGTCTGGTTGAAAAGTCAATGTCTGTTCCCTTAACATTAATAATTATTTACCTAGACAACTAGAAAATTTATCAAAAACTTTTAGATTTATTTTTAAATTAATGCGAATTAATGTTTGTATTTAAAAGAAATGGTAATAATGATACATACATATGTACATATATCTACATTTACTAAAAAATTATAACTTACATAAAAAAGCGATTTACTTGAAGAAAAGAGCTATAAGAAGTTTTTTCCTCTCGTGTAAAATTTGTAAAAGTGGGTTTTGCAACTTTTTACTGTAAGATAACGATATGTTTGTTAAATATAAATATGGGACCAACTAACCATTTGTAAAAAGCCTACAAAACGCTTTCAAATAAAACATTTGCCTATTTCAAACTTTGAGGCGCTTAAAGCAAGTGAAGAAAAGTTGCCATTTGGCCAGCCTTTATACGTTTTAGTATATTCCAAATAATTTTTGACACTTCTCGCAGCGAAGCAAGCAAAACAAGCCTACATTGGGCCAGCACCTTCAGACTTGACTTGCCTTACCTAGAAACTTAAAGGCTCCGTTATGCATACTTGGCATGGCTTGAGAGCTGTCACATAAGAAATCTGTTAAATGAGCCTCGCGTGTAATCGGTTATCGAACGCACAGCACTACATACGTAGAAGTCTGTTGGTTTTTGATTTCTACGTAAAAATGGTATAGCAGTGCATGCAATGCCAAGTATGCATAACAGAGCCTTTAGACGCGATTACTCAGCGTGCCAACTATTACCTTTTCTCTTTGTTTTGATTCTCAGCACTTGTATATGTACACGTAAATTGTAATCGTTTAGCTTGTTTTTTGACCAAAATTACTTAAAAATTACTATTAAAATAAATGTATTTACGCGTTTGAAATTGTGATTGTTTTTATTTAAGTTTCTGTCTTTAATTGAAAGTTTGTTTTTCGATTGCCAAATAAATTACATTTATACAAAAAATACACGTGCTGCTCATTTGCTAGATATACAATTTTCAAGCCAAGGCAAGTCTAAGTCTTGCATAACTGAGCTTTTAGTTGGCTTTGCTTTTGGTTTTAGCTCAATTTAATTTTTAAAAATTTTCTAAAAAAAAGAATCGTTTGAAATAGTGAGGAATACAAATTTTTGATTTGTTTACCAAGCAAATGTTTATTTTTCGGCATTTGCAAATTAAATAAGTTCTCTGCAAGACGGTTCGTTCAAAAAAAAAATACATGGACATGTATGGTATATGGTGTACAGAAATATCCCTTTTCCCTTACAGTCTTATCGGCAACAATGACATTTTTCAAATAAGGCAGATCGGAATATGCGCTCTCTGGGAAGACAGACAATACCTGTAATTATTGTACCATGAGGTAGCGCTTACTTCTGCATACTCAGCTCTATATTTGTATAATTTAGATGATGACACTATTGAAGTAAATGAGCGATATATCGCACGTTAAATAATAGCTGTGATCCAGTACTCCATGAACTTACAGGATTTTACACGAACTTGCAGGAAGTTGCAGGAAAAATGTTCCCGTACTCCAAAATCCTCCAAAATCCTGTAAATGAGAGCAACTTTTGGAGAGTTGTGTAGAGGATGAGTTGCAAGATTTTACCCGAACTTTTTCTTCTGGTAAAATCATGAAAAGTGTCAAGCAATCACTGGTTGACGTTTTTACAGGAAAAATGGTAAGTGTAAGTAATATTGCTGTTTGACAGTTTTTTAGGATTTTTCACGAAAAGTATTGGATCAGAGCTAATAAGTTTGTTCCCTAGCGCAACACGGGGTCCCGCGGATGCCCGAAATAGCCCAGAAATCGTTCCCGTACTCCAGAAAATGGGCATTAGAGAGCGCATGCATTCCACAGTTGCGATCGTAAATGTATTCTTCTTCGTGCCCGGACTTTTTCTCCAGGCAAAAATGGATAAAGTGTCAAAGTGCATATCAGCTGTTTTGTGTTTACAAGTTGCCTGCATTTACTTGGTGCTTTTAAGGAATAGTGAATGGCCTATTGATGTATTTTCAACCTTTATATGAGGTTCTTTCCCTAACAATCCGGACCGGATCCCTTAATTAGAGAATAAGCGAAAAGTTTTCTCTCAAAAATGGAACATAATCCAGAAGTACGGGAACGCAAATAACCACATTTCGTGCCCAGAATTTAAGAAACAGCTTATTCGCGTTGTTTTTGTTTTTTGTCACTTACAGGTCTATTCTTCTTC